CCGAGATCCATCTTATGAAAGAAAATCTCTCACAGGCTTCAAGTTTAAGTTCAACAAATTGTCTTTGAGATTACAGCAATGAAAAGGTTTATATAGTCCAATATCTCAATGAAATGTTGAGGTATGATACTTATTTCACCTTAAAGCCTATATTCTATAGAAAGCATTATCAATTGGGATTCAGTCAAATTAATATAAACTTTGACTGAGGGTTCGGAGTAAAGATATTAAAGCTTGATATTAATGCAGGCAAGGATTTACAAGATTATTGTGCACCCCCATACCTATTAATCCAATTTTATATTTCGAAGTATATGAAACATTTTCTTGAATCATTTACACCGAGCAAGACTTGATGAAGATTTAGTCAGTCTATGACAGCTCAGTCCATCAGATAAAATATGAAAATAAATATCTTTGTAGAATATTTTAAAAATTCAGGATGAATGATTTGTTTTTATCTTTTTTTTCTTTTTTTTTTTAAATCCATCCAAATGGCACTGAACTACCAGTTCAATGGGTGACAAAAGTGAAAAAAGTTTGGTATGGGGAATGGAATACTGACTTAGCAGGGTATTTTTTAGAAACTCCCAATTTAAATGTTTTCTTTAAACAGTGCTCTCAAAATTCGGTCACTTTATAATAAAATAAGTTTGGCAAGACATGAACTGTGCAAGGACAGATTTTTTTTTTTTTTTTTTTTTTAAGGACTATTCATTCCGGGGGATTGGAGAACAAAATGAGCATTAATACTTGTAATTTTATATAATTATACAATACGTCTCAACATGAGCAAGGGGGTCAGTTGTACTTCAGGCACGCCGGAATCCAGGAAGAACGAGATGGGAGTGTGTTCTCTGGTGGTCTCAATGGAAGAAAAGTGTGGAAAAAGATGAGAGCCAATATTGACCTGGCTGATTTGGTCACTCAGTTCAGTAGTGACTTGGAGAAGATCAGAGTTGAGAGTATCTCGAACATGGAGGACGCAGGCCGGATGAGGGAATGTTTGTCGGACAGTTTATGGGTCCAACGCTAGGCTGCTCCGGATTGTGCGGCAAAGAAAGGAAATGTTCTTTTAAAAGAGATAAGGACTCATAGCTGACTATGGGTGCCTTGCTTGCAGTGGTAACTGTTGCAGGCTGCACTTTTTAAACAAAGCACTTTGGTACAATCAGTGTTCTGCCACGGAACACACTTGAAGGTGTATGGTTGGGAGATTCGGGGAATGGCTGTATAGGTAGCTCTTTGGACAGCAACTTTGAAACATTTGTAGTATATCTAAAATGGACGAGAAGGAGGATGGAGGGAGACAAATAGCAGAGATTAAAGTTAAAGTATGATAGTCAGCTCTATCAAAGCACCATCGTGGGGCCTAGAACTGACCAGTCGAAGTATAAACAGAGAGAAGGGGAGCATAGAAAAAGGTCAAGGCATGAAAACGACTAGTGATCGGCCACTGGAGATAGTGGTGGAATCACTTCAAAGAGTGAGTAAAAATCACCAACTATGAGGAAAGGAGTTGTGAAAGTAGTATCAAAGGCAACAAAGCCAATGGGGTGGGAAGACAAGTGGACTGAAATAACTATGATCCAGCGGTTAAGAAAGAGGCGAATAACTGTGCAAGCTTTCTGATGGATAGGTAAAGCAGGGAGTGTGAGGAAAAGACAAAAGGATAAACAGTAATTGATACAGGATGTGTAAGAAAAGTCTCTAGGAGAAGAGAGGATATGACAGAGATTAGGTTGGGATAATGGAAACAGCAAATATTTCTATGGGCTGTTGAGGAGAACATGAAAAATCTGTCCCACTTGGCTGGGCGAAACAGATTATTCATCATAATTGAAGAAGTGTAGGTAGTAGTAGGACGGGACCCTGTGGGAAAGGGAGCGCTGTTGAGAGAGGTAGTACTGCAGAGAGGTGAACAAAAGGACTGCAGAGTAACAATAAAGGAGGATGGGGGAGTTGATGAAGAAGGTTCTGGGGTTAGAGATGGAGTTGAGGAAGTTGGAAGAGGAGGATGTTTTCTGGAGATTGAGTAATGACCTGAATGGACGAATTGGAATTGACTGAGGTGATAGTAGGCTTTGAGGGGGTAGTAGGAGTAGTGTTTAGAGTCGTGGTCAAAGGAGAACCTTGGATCGGGGAACTGCGAGAATTGAAATCAGTGGGGCTATTTGCTAAAGGGACATGCCTCAGTGCTCCTAATAATAGTACAAAGTCTTCATTACGGGCCATGGTTAGCCTGGATTATGTTGGACAGGGAAACAGTCCACCCCTCAGGGTCCCCTTGAGAGGTAAGGGTTAGACAACTAAATAGAAAAGCGTGACTTCCCAGTCCGTTCATGATTGGCACACAGTAAGCCTTTCATCCTTTCAACATGGCTCTCACATCTTAGGAAAAGGATAGTAGAGAGGGTTGGATAAGGGAGGGACGGAAAGGGGAAGGGGAAAAGAACGTGTAAAATTAGTTGGTGATACCCAACATTGGGTCCCAGTCTCCCCCCTCTCCCCCTCCCCCACGGCAACAACGGGCATTGGATTAGGGGTTACATGTATTGCCGAAGATCGCATTTCAGCCAATTAGGGTATACCATTCTTGGAAACCTATTGATAACTATGTTTATATTGTCGTTCACCTTTACGGGGACGCTTTTCGAGGCTGCCTAAAGTTGGCAGGCAGGTGGAGTTGCTAGCCCGTGGTTGAACAAAGGCCTATATACTCGTATAGACCTTGATATGAACGACACCGGCTCGGCCTCGGCGGTCCCCAGAGGAAACAACCATTGCCTAAGTGTGAAACATTATGCACTCATATATGTACGTATGTATATTGGTATATAGTATATGAATACATGTATGTAAATAAATTGGTAAGTATATATGTATTATATCGATATGTTTGTATATATGTATCATATTGGTATGTATGTATTTTGTACGTATGAATGTGTTATAAAATGATATGTGTATTATACTTATATGGTATATATGATATTATTGTATATATGTATGTATATGTAAATATATTGTAATATGTGAAAATGGATATGTATGTAAATATGCATTGTATTGGTATGTACAAAAAATGGATTATATTGATATGTATGTAATATATTGGTATGCACATATATATGTGGTGTAATTAAAAGGAAATTGGTAGCTCTCGAAGGGGCCTGGCAACGATTTGTAATTGTTGGCCTACGAGTCAAAGAATACGGGAAGTGCTTGTTGAGGGTCGCCGCATAGAAAACGGGGGTGCCGAAGAACCGGCGAGTGACCTGCGTATAGAGAGCGTCCAGGGTTGGGACAGGTGGTTACATTGGTTGGGAGGTCCCGTTGACTAGGGGATGAGTTTGGCCAGAATGTTAGGTTAGTGAAAGATGGAGTGTTGTGTTCTTGTTCGCGGGAACGGTGCGCAAGTGGTTTTGGTTTGTTTTGAATGGTCTTGTTGGCACTTGGTCTATTGTTTTGAAGTTGGGCAGTTGTGGACATCATAGTACGAGAGAAATTTTTGTTTGTCCATATAATTGTATTACACAACAATATATATATATACATATGTAATATATATATATATATATATATATATATATATATATATATATATATATATATATAAATATATACTGGCATATATGTAAATATATTGGTATGTCTGATGACATATTTTGGGATCTATAGCAGGTTTTATGTCTTTTGATAAAGCTTCACCACTCCTTTCTTTGGTATGCACTTTCCAACATTTTTAAGGACTGTGACACTTTTCAGTCCTTCTGAGAATATTTTCCGTCTTTCCATTTCATATTCTAGCCTATCAATGTTCTTACGTTTTCCCATAACCTCAGGAATCACTGCCTCAGAATGTACGCCTTTATAAATGTGGCATTTCCCTGATGTTAAAATAACATCTGGAACCAGGTCGAGGTCGGGGCGTAGCCTGTCAGATGGCCCGAACGACGGCAATGTCAGGGACCGTCACCCATGATTGATAATTCCACAGCAGACTGAGTATGACTGATTCTTATAGTTGGAGGCCGTGACCCTGATGGACCTTGACCTATCTCGGAAAGAAAGGACACGCAGACAGAGACATAGAAGAGACTCAGATGAGAGAGAGAGAGAGAGAGAGAGAGAGAGAGAGAGAGAGAGAGAGAGAGAGAGAGAGAGAGAGAGAGAGAGAGAGAGAGAGAGAGAGAGAGAGAGAGAGAATGAGAATATGAATCTTGTAAGCATTATCCAACTACAAATAGACACTTGTATTTAGATGTAAAAAAAGCTGGTATGACAAATTCTTTCTTTATTGACCTGTTTAGTTTTTCACTTAATGACTTTACCAGCCCGAATACTACTCGGGAAGAGCCTTGTGTAATTAATCAGATTCTATGTAGAAGTATTGCGTAATGTTATCAAGGGATGGAAAATGGAAGGTGAAGCAACTGTCAGTGCAAAAGTTTAAAGCTGAACACATTTAGAATAACTTGCTGGCTATTGCATGTCTTTAAAAAGCCATACTCATTCCATGCACAATCAATATGGCAGTCACTGTAGATTAACATTTCTAATATCTGATTACTCTGCAGATGAAAAATATTAATACAAATCTGTCACACCTGGGATGATTTTTTTTTTAATTTGTCATTTTCACTTAGTATAACTGGCTTAGTTCATAATGACAATATTCTAAGACCTGCTATAATTATTTTATTTACAGGAAAGGTTCTGTGTTAGATCAAGGTTTAACAAATATGAATATATATAGCCAGTCTCTAGGATTATATTTAAAGAAGACACTAAGAAGTCTCGTTACTAAATCTTAAAATTCATTTAGAAAATTTATTTAGAATTACTCAATTCTTTCAACTTATACAAGGTGGAGCACTAAAATACTCCTATTTATCAGCAAGCAAGTATCATTCCAGCTTATACCAACATCAAACCATATTCTTTAAAGTTGGCATGAGTGTCTCATAAAGGATGCAGATTACCAAGAAAAAGCCAAATCATTTCCACATTTTATTGGAAAAAATCAACTTTGCAATTGATTATGAACCACTTACTGCACAGAACATTGAACCAGTAAGGTGATATAAACTTTGTCCATCTCCAGTTCAAAGGACGAATAATAAAGAATTTTAGCAATGTACAACATTCAACAGTTAAAAATGATAAATAAATAATAATCAAATGTTGATAATTAGTCAATAAGAATTAAAAACACAAATAATATTGGTTCTAGTAAAATATAATTATATTCAAAACACGACGCCCACGATGATAATGTTAGTATAATGACAATAAAAAAGATAATAGTGATGATAATAAAATCATCAGCTTGTCTATTTCATACTGAACACATCCTGGCATTTGTTATTCATAATCTTCTCCATGAATACATTGAAACACTGTACTCCTGAGATATAGGACTATTTCCACACATAAATATCTGATATCCGTCTACAAGCGGAGGGAAGGCACAATCACCCCCCACCAAGCACCCAAGATCTTGCGGTTTTCGATCGACCTTCTAACTCTTCTTATATTCGTATTGATCATCTCTGGTTTATCATCACCAAAATTCACTAAAATGGAAAGTACAGATTCATAATAGTTATTATCAACAGTGTAATCATAATTATCATAATAATCATACTGATAATGAAATTATAACAATGTAACAAAAGATATATTCATGAAAATGCTACAGGCAGTAAATAGATAGAAGCAGGCTTTTTTTTACCACAAGAATAAATCTTGTCACATGCAATTCTTTAGTATACAGGCATAATGAGCTCTATATGTGTATACAAATATACATATACATACCTATGATACATATGTTTATATATGTGTATATATGAATATACTGTATACATAAGCAGAGTTGGAGAGTACTGCCAGTATTTCTAGATTTTAAAAACATCTTTTTGCAAATCATATACTAAAAGTACCAATTACTGTAACCATCAGGGAAACTGGTCCAATACTATTGTTTGATGTCTATAGCTGTACTTGTCAAGGAAATCAAGATTACTGCCAGTATTTTCTTTTTGTGATAGCCATGATTTTGCTATAATTTTTGAGAAAGCTAATTTGAACCACTTTACGTGCAGATGTAGTAACTGATACATTTTATTAGTGGATAAATTCTTGAATCTAAAAGTACTGGCAGTACTTCCTAGCTCTGTGCATATGTACATATATAGACACATACATATACATACAGACATACACAAATAAGGTATATGCATATATGTACATATATATAATGTATATACATATTTACTTATTTCTTATACGATACATAGGGATTCAATATGATGCTCTCTGCATTTTCAAGAACTGCTGCTTGACACATCAAACTTCATGTAGCTTACAAATCTAGCATATTGTACCTTTGGTGGGCTGCAGGTATTGCGTGTTATAGAAAAGCTTCTTATCCTCTGTATTATCTAATGCAGACTGTCATGTAACATTTTTGCAAGTCAAATGTGCATATCACGGTGGTTCACACACGAGCATCAGCATATTATATTTCGTATAAAAGAATAAAAAGTCATGGAATGCATGGCAGGCTTACAAAATATACTTAATACATAACAATCAAAATCAGAACCAAATTAGATGGAACATTATCAACTGATGTATAGAAGTATACCTGACCATGGAAAAGGAACACAAGCACGTGGTTCATAACTACAGAAAAATGCATCAATCAAGAAGCATTGCAGGCTTTAAGTCATGGACTTGTTAGTAGGTTAGAAGAGCATTTATCCCTAGAGTCCAAAATTATTGCCCTAACCATATTTCACTCTCAAGAGAAACACATTAACCCTAGACAATATCGGAGCTCAGTACATCACTTTCACTCTCATACTTCATTCAACCTCTTTAAGTACTGAAAGCCTCCTTAACTCTTTACGGTGAGAAAAATGTCAGTCGAAGAGTTTATTTAAAGGGTTAGCATGGTACCATCTTGTGTACTTCCCTTACGCAATGATAATAATTAAGTAGTCGACCAGCAAAACTTCCAAGTACAGCAGAGTGTAACAGCCATTAGCAGGGATGTGAAAAATCTGTGAACATTTGAAGTGTCAGTATCATTAGTAGTAAACTATTGTATCTGGATAATATTGATGATGTCATGTGTGTGAGATGTAATAAGTAAAATATTCTTCCATGTTAGAAAACTAAAGGGATCTTCCCTGCTCTGTGCATAGAACTTCATCCTTACAAACTACATATTTGAGAGCATACAGTATATATTGCAGCCATCTACAAGAAATTTCAGTCTTGAAATATGGAAAGCAAATACAATAAAATAAACATTAAATATGCTTATATGTGTGTAGGACACAGACATGTGTCAAAGAAACTCATTCAGAAATCCATTCATTCTTAGGGCACATGCCTTGAACAATCATATGCAAATACTCACACACCCATTCACAAACGAGTGTTTGCAATATCCTTAATTCCTTTTAGTAAATATCTATATTTTCTCTTTCCCATTAAGAATTAAGTTGTCCTAACATATCAGATCATTTCAGCATGTTAATTGGAACAGGACAACGGGGATCTTTATTTAAACAGGGAATAAAAGAAATGACAGAAAAATATCTTACTTTTTCCATGTACATGTACAGATAAAGAGAAAACACATACATATACAAAAGCAGTCTTACTTAAAAACACACATCTAGACACTTAAATCTTCATATCTCATCAGAAATTCCAACACATGAAAACTAATAACCATGGTTTCTCTAAAGAAAACTTAAATATCAATTAAAAGTCGCATTTGAGAAAACTTATGGTTACTTTCTCTAACACATACTTTGAGCATGAGAAACATACGTCATCACTGTAAATGTGTAGACAATACCAATATAAGGTAAGCCATAAAAGAACAAGAAATGTGAAATAAAAACTATGTGCACTTTCCTAGCTATCAAGAATAATATAGGGATACACAGTTAGCACAGTAAGATTGGCCCATTTGAGTTACATTTCTATACTTTTGAATGTGCAAATTATCAATGTATGCATTGAGTTTAATTTTGCATTGCAAGAAGATACCAAACAAGTAAAGTCCACTTATTAAAATTGAAAAAAAAGGATACCCCAAAGTCCTTTTGCTTCCATACACAAACTCTAGCGCAACTCAATATCCCTGCTTGCAAAGGGTGACACCTTTTGACTTTTAAATCAGTATCTTGTGATCCTTGTGCTGTTTCAACTCCTGTGTCTCTATACATTATCTATTTGTGACACTTTTTTGAGTCACTGGAGCCAGATTTTCCCTTCTGAAGTCTCCACTCAAGCTTCATGCAACCTGCAGCCCATCCACTTGATTACTGATAAACAGACAATGTTGAGAATTCATTTTACATTAACCATGTAAATTAATTAGATTTTCAAAAAATTATCATGATTTTTCAAGTTCAGCATCATCCAGTGAAACCAATTTATAGCCAGCCACATGGAATAACCCAGCTCATTTGATTATGGCATTCTCATACAAATAATTACAATAATAAAAGCAATTACAATATGCCACACATTACAGCTTTAAAGAACATAGTTGTTAGTATATCCCTATTAAAAAAAAAGTGAAAACCTAACTTTCTGCAAAGAAAAGCTAAATGTTTACACAACTGCAAAAGGATGGAAACCTACTTGGCACACAATACAAGAAAGTCAAGTTACAGGTGTTGCTGTGGATCTAATCTTAAGTACTGACTGAGACTTTGGTAATGCTGTATCAGTCACCCTACACAAGAGGGATGCTGTTTCGAGGTAAAGAAAAAAAATCTTACAAAATACTGTGACACAGACAAAGGGGAAACTAATTGGACATGAGAATGCATTTGGTACCATATCTTTAGGCTCTATACAAGTTAAAAACAAGTTGGCTCTAATTTCCACCAATCATTCAATCCTTTCAGCATCCTGATCCAATGGAATTAGCTTTCTAATTGTAGGATAAAAACCTAAAACATTTTGGGATTGTTGCAAATAATTTATTTTGCACATAATAACAATATGAGTAAGCAATGAAGACATTACAAGAATTACAAACAGGATGACAGGATATGATGTGCCGTGCAAAACAGCAGGATTGTAAGGCAAAGAAGTCCTAGGCATTTGTGAATTATTGTCCTTACATAATACCAATCATATCTCCTTGAATTGCGAGTAAAAAATAGTCGGAAATGTCAGCAAGGAACTGGCTATGAGTTAGTTTATAATTAATTTTTTCAAAGAAGGTGACTTAGAAGGAGGACTTGTATCATTTTTTAAAATCCTTTTACATCTATTCGTTTTGTGTTTTTTATTTTTTTTTTCGAAATTGTTTGCGAGTCTCTTGAAAATAATTTCCTCGACTACTTGAGTCTAGTTCCAGCTGATTCATCATCATAAAAAAGAAATAATAAAAAAGACAAGGTAGATATGCCTCCACACCAAGGACCCGCACTTAACAAGCCCTCAAGCAGTGATTTATGGAACAACAACACCTAGACTGCAGTGCCCGCATTGGACCCACATTGTGTTGTGATGGGCGTTGGTGATTGGTCCCTTAGTACTCTTCCTCCTCTGGGGGGGGAGGAACATCCTCAACATCCTCTGGGGCAGCAAAGCCATCCTGGAGAGAGAGAGAATGTGTTGGGTTTTGTTAAACATTTAGTTATTGATAAAAATAAGAATACAAAAAAAAGGAAAGAAAAAAAAAAGCTACCAATAACATTATCTTTATCATGCATTTTCTGAAAGAAAAGAGTAAAATCTTTTACTTTTATTTTTAATCCATTGTTCCTTATACTGTGCTACAGAATGGTTGATGCCAAGTGTAATAAAGCAAGCAATACATGTGTGATTCAGCACCTGTTTTCTCAAGCTAAGGAAAAAAAAGGAAAAAAAGAAAAAAGTGGAAAAAAATCAAGAACAAGAGAAACCACAAACCTTTTAATAATGAAAAAACAAATCACTTATAGCTACTTGTGAATCACAGATGATAAACTTTAAGCCAGAAACTAAACACAACATTCCAATCCTAGTAACAGCAAAAACACACTAAAATTCTCATTCAACAATAAAAAAAATCATGTTTAGAAGGTCCATTAAAAATAAACCAAACCAAAAGAATTCCTCTTAGCACTTGACAGAGTGTATTTATCAAAGAAAGGAAATGAAAAGAGTGAAGGAAAAAGGCAGGAATAACTGACATTTAGACTTTTCAGTTAAGATCCAGCAGCACTAGTACTAAAACCTACTGATAATGCAAAGTACATAAAATCCTCTAGCATACTGGCATGTTCTATCTAAACCATTTCCATGTCAAATGTGTAATAATCATTCCTAACGTCAGGTCCTCCTGTTAAAATAGAATCCACATGATATTAGTCTCTGTACCATTATGTTCATAACAAAACCATGAAATGTCCTACAAGTATAATATGTTTTACAGCAGACACATACACATCCTGGAACAGCTAAGCTACAATCACACAACACTTCAATCATAGTATGACTAGTACTTAACCAAGTCATGCCTTGCAACATCTAATCACATCATGGTGAAAATCACGTTATGAACCTAGACCCCAGAAGCTGTGGTGATGTCTCAGGAATCAGGCCATGAGCTGGACAATAGCCAAGGCTTGGAGCAGCACATGCTAACACACACCACCAAACGTGTCAAGATTTTACCCGCTGTAAATGGGGGAGGGGTTGGTAAATAAATAATACTAAAATCAAAACGCTAATAACTATTCTTTTTCATTTTTTAGTATAGCCTTGTGTATCCATCTATCATTCATATACTAATACACCCATAACTATAGAAACATACTGTTAATAATGTATCATAACACCTCCCTCATATACACAAGTACCACCTCCAAAGGTAACCCAAAGTCTCTGGGAAAATGTGTTCACTGTACCATTTTTATGTGAAATGTCTCTGCACATAGATGGCTCTGGAAGTACTTAGCACAAAGGAGTCAATTAGTAGACACTCTGACCAAACCTGATTTCACCTTTCCTTTTTATTTGCAAGAAAAAAGGCTTTCTTTACTAAGGCTATCAGTACCGATACTGTTATTTTTATCATTGACACTGCTAATAGCATCATTAGATACCAGAAAATATTTTTGAAAATCAAGGAAAAGGATAAACAGGTGACATATGAAGTACTCGTAATTGGCTCATTGGGGACTTGGTATTCATGGAGCCACCTATATGTAAAAACAATAAATTCAACTCATAGTGGGCATGGCACATACGCACGTGCCACCTCCAGCGGCTTCAGGTTGATATTAATGTTACCTCAAATTACCCAAACCTCCTGCAGTAGAAAGCCTAATCATGCCTGAGTCCTTTATAATGCATAAGAAGATATATAAGAGCTGGAAAGGAAAACCTATAAATCTTACTAAAAGGTGTTAGATTTGAAATCAAAGGGTTATGGTAAGCATGTATATGAAACAGGTACATGCATGAGAGAAGAGGGAGAGGGAGAAGGAAATGGGGGAGGGGCGGGAAGCGAGGGAGAGAGGGAAAAGTGGGGGAGGGAGGGAGAGAATGAGAAAAAAAGGGGAGCGGAAGGGAGGGTGAAAGCAGAAGAAGAGGAGGAGAGGGTTGGGTAGGGATGGATGTAGGCGAAAGAAGGGAGGAAGGGCAGTGAGGGAGGAAGGAAAAGGTGCTGTGTGCTGTGTGTGCTATACACGGAAGGTATCGGTAGTGTGTGTGTGTGTGGTGGACACGATGGACCCAGGCGACGGAGGGAAGAACGAGAAATGGTGGTGTGTGTCACGTGTGTGGTTGTTGTGAAATGTGCTACACGTGTGGTGTGTGTGTGTGTTACAACTGCTGTGTGTTGTGTGTACACGTGTGTGTGTGTTCGTACACGTGTGATGTGTGTGTGTAGTGGATTGTGTGATGTGTGGAATGTGGATGTGAAAGCTGTGCGTATGTAGAGGATGAGAGAAGAAGCAGAGGAGAGTGAAGTGCGGTGTACACGCGATGTGTGTGTGTTGTGTGTGTATGGCTCGATGTACTTTCAAAATATGTGAGGGTATATACTATGTAGTGAACATTTGTGTATGCGATGACTATGAGACCGTATAATTGAGAGTTGTAAATGCAAGTGATATTAAGTATAATGGAGAGTGAATATATATAGTGATATATAGATGATATAGATGATATAAGAGAATAATATATATCAGTAGTGATATATATATATAAAATTTACTAGTTTATTAAAGTTTTGTTCTGCTAATTATCATATATGAGTGATGGTTAAGAAAAAAGAGAAAGAAATTAGGAGTAATGATTTTTGAGATTGTTTATTTCTGGGAGCCCAAAGGGGGGGGGAAAAAAAATGCTCTCTTCTCTCTGAGCTCTCTCTCGTCATGCAGACTTTCTCCGAGTGAGAAACGTGAACTGTACGGAGAGAGTAGAGCACAGAGGCTGAGAGCTCTGGGGAGGCGGGATACCGAGAGGAGGACGAGTAGGGATGAGGGGAGAGGGACTGACGAGAGACGTACGATGAGAGACCAGAAAGAGAGAGACCGAGAGGTGAGAAAAGAAGCTGGCAGAGAGGTTAGGGAGGCGGATCTGGGAGCTCCCTTCTCAGGCGGATCTCGAGTGAGAGACGGAGTCGAGAGGATGGACTACGATCTCTGAGACGTCTGGAGAAGCTGGGAAGCTCTCGGATTGAGTAGGGAGAGGAGCAGATGAGAGACTGGACCCTCGATGAGACCGCATGCATCCCTCTCCCTACTCTTCCCGAGGCTCCCTCTCCACTGCATACCCCTCTCCCCTCTCTGCTCTCTCTCTCTCTACTCTCTCTCGCTCTCTCTCTCTCTACTCTCTCTCCTCTCTTCTCTCTACTTCCCGCTATGACCCTCTCCCTCTCCAGATCGTAGATCCCTCCCTCTCCCTCTCCCTCTCCTCCCCCTTCTCCCTCTCTCTCTCTCTCTCAAGCACTCCCTCTTCTCTCTCTCTCTCTCTCTCTCTCTCTCTCTCTCTCTCTCCTCTCTCTCTCTCGTCTCTCTCTCTCTCTCTCTCTCTATACGAGAGGAGAGAGAGGAAAGAGAGAAAGAGAGAGTAGAGACCTGAAAAGAAAGAGAAAGAAGATTACGAGATAAAGAGAGAGAGAAAGAGAAAGAGGCAACAGACGAAAATCAAGAGTTAGTTAGTTAGTTTAGGAGACTGAAAAATCAGAGCTTCAAGCATACATGGTAGGCAGACCAGAATCAAAATACTTTCAGAGTATTAGTGTATAATGACATTCTTCTGCTGGTTAGTATGTTAATCATTGATTCTGCTTTTTTGCAAGCTGTTCCTGTAAGAACCCGAGAGCAATTTACATTTATCAAGCATGGATTAATTCAAACGATGGTAAGAGGAATAAAACTACCCTTCCTAACCAATACCCTTAGCCTTCCTATCCTATTTATTTAATGTGTATCTAGTAAAATAAAATATAGGACAAAAAGTTATCTTTTGCATCTAGGAAATACTAATAAAAGCAAAGAAAATAACAGTCAAGCTGATGGTTAAGAAAGACCCAAAGAAATAAACCTATTTCATTAATGCAGCTGTACATGCATGTACAGTTTATCTTTATATTATAAAATTTTTATGCATTTCTAAATCAATATTAAATCCCATGAATGTTTAAAATATTAATGCATTCCAATGATTAATACCAACAATTTTAAGATTATGCATGATTATGTAAAAGACCTCTTCTAATAAATTCCTGTGCAAATGGGAATATACATTACCGAAACATCAATAAGCATAAAACTAATCTTTATTACATATGCTTGTCATCTAACTTCTCCGTAAGTCCTTTTGAAGCAAAGACAAATAAATCAGACACACTTCTGACCTTTAAAAATACCACTAGAAATCAAGAAAACAAGAAATCAAGAAAAAAGTGTGGAAATAAGAAAAATCATCATCAACGATAGGCCACTCATTTTAAATCCAGGCGTTCTATTTTTTCCTGATTCATAAATCAAGCACAGCGTCTCGGATTCAACTTGCAAACTGCACGATGGATACAAATACTTATATAATTCCACATTCTATCATTCAGTATTAAAATTCCCCTGTATCCTGAATGTCAACAACTCTTTCATGTAAGGAATATTCTAAGACTAGTTTTCCCCCGCCAGTTGTTATGTACCATCTGCACAAGATAAATATTACATCTAAAACTTAACAGGCCCTCAAAACTAGGTACTTGCTTAGACTAATGAGTAAGTAATGATGATAAACAATAAGGACATAGCTGGCAATTTTACTCTTTTACATCTCTAAAATGATTGTGACCACATAAGTAACATTTTAGTATGGTTAAAAATATGACACTAGCATCACTTTGCAGTACAGTGTTTTGCAATTTGCAAAATTTCAGTTGTAGAATATTCATTCTGAGCGTCTTTATACCACTGATCTTACACTCCTGCTGAAGTACATTAAAAAAAGTGATGACATAAAATTAATAAATATCCATCACCAACAGAAAAAAATTATACCATTATATTTTACTTCATAGGAGGAGGGAGGGAGGGAGGAGAGGGAGAGGGAGGGAGAGAGAGAGAGAGAGAGATGAGAGAGAGAGAGAGAAAGAGAGAGAGGAAAGGAGAGAGGATGAGGAGAGAGAGAGAGAGAAGAGAGAAGGAGGGAGGGAGAGAGAGAGGGAGAGGAATGAGGAGAGGGAAGAGAGAAGAGAAGAGGGAAGGGAGGGAGAGGGAGGGATGAGAGGAGGGGAGAGAGATGAGAGAGAGAGAAGAGAGGAGAGAGAGAGAGAGAGAGAGCGAGAGGGGAGAGAGCGGAGAGGAGACGAGAGAACGAGAGAGAGAGAGAGAGCAGATGGAGAGAAGAGGAGAAGAGAGGAAATCGGAGAAGAGAGAGAGAGAAGGGAAGAGAGGAGGAGATGAAGAAGAGAGGAGAGAGAGAGAAGAGAGAGGGAGGGAGGAGGGAGCGAGGAAGGGAGGAGGAGAGGAGGGAGGAGGAGGAGGGAGGGAGAGAGAGGAGGTGAGGGAGAGAAGGAAGAGGGAGAGGGAGGAGGAGAGGGAGAGGAGAGGAGCAGAAGAGACTAGGGAGAGAGAGAGAGAGAGAGAGAGAGAGAGAGAGGAGAGAGAGAGAGAGACGGAGAGAGAGGAGAGAGGAGAGAGAGAGAGAGAGACGAAGAGGGAAAAGAGGGAGGAAGGAGGGAGAGGGAGAGAAGGGACGAGGGAGGGAGAGGGAGGAAGAGGGAGAGAGAGAGGAGAGAGGAGAGGAAGAGAGGAGAGAAGAGAGACGAGAGAGAAGAGGAGGGAGGAGGGAAGGAGAGAAAGAGAGAGAGAGAGGAGGGAGGGGAGAGAGAGAGAAGAGGAGAAGAGAGAAGACTGCAGAGACAGAGAGAGAGAGACGAGAGAGGGAGGGGAGAGAGATGAGAGAGAGAGAGAGAGAGGAGAGGGAGAGAGAGAGGGAGGGAGGAAGAGAGAGAGAGGAGGAGGAAGGAGAGAAGAGAGGGAGGGAGGGAGGGAAGGAGGAGGAGGAGAGGAGGAGAGAGGGAGAGGAGAGAGAGAGAGAGAGAGAAGAGGGGGAGAGGAGAGAGGAGAGAGAGAGTGGGAGAGAGGAGAGGGAGAGGAGAGAGAGAGAGAGGGAGGAGAGAGATGAGAGAGAGAGAGAGAGAGAGAGAGAGAGAGAGGAGAGAGAGGAGAGAGAGAAGAGAGAGAGAGAGAGAGGAAGAGAGAGAGGGAGAAGAGGGAGAGAGAGAGAGAGAGAGGGAGAGAGGAGGAGGGAGAGAGGGAGAGAGAGAGAGAGAGAGAGAGAGAGAGAGAGAGAGAGAGAGAGAGAGAGAGAAGAGAGAGAGAGAGAGAGAGAGAGAGAGAGAGAGAATTCTGCCAGAAATCAACACTAATTTTTACAATCTATATAAATTAGGAACAAAACTTTATAAACAGTATATATATATATATATATATATATATATATATATATATATATATATATATATATATATATATATAATATCACTTGCAAAATTCAAATACCCTATATATGCATACACAAATGCATACATGTATAAAGCCACATATGTATGAAAATACACACACACACACACGTGTACACACGCACACACGTACGCACGCACAAACACACACACACAAACACACGTGTACACACACACACACAGTGTACACACACACACACGTGTACACACACACACATGCACACGTGTACACACACATACACACACGTGTACACACACATACACACACGTGTACACACACACACACACACGTGTACACACACACACACACACACGTGTACACACACACACACACACACACACACACCACACACACACACACACACACACACACACAAACACACACACACACACAAACACACACACACACATACACACGCACACACACACATACACAGACATACATGTACACATACATGAACACAAACACACACACAAACATGCAAATTCAACATAATCATCTATAATACTTGCTTTGAGAATCTCATTATGATTCAAATATACTTTATGTAAACTGACATGTACTGGATGTTCACATATTGCCTAAGTTGGTAACTGCTACTCTTCCTGCCTTATCATCATCGGGCGCTCCTCAAATATCCAACTAGAATCAGGTACAAATTTTTTTTTGCAAAAACCAATGGATTTATCCTTAGGAACACACCTTTTCCCAAGAACAAATACATTCTAGAACCACTATGAAAACATATTAGCCATCATTCCTGCCACAACCCTTTACTTCATGCTTCCAAACGAGTGAAATGCTCGAAATAAACAGCCAACATGAATATCCTGACGGAATACTAACACAGCCAGAATGGGGGGCAAGGAGACTCACAAAGATCACTCCTTTTGAAAGAAGTCTCCAACCTAACTATCCTTTTCACTTACAAAAACTTGAACCTCCTCCATTATGGCACAAACCATAATCAGGTTTAAGCAAAATAAGAAGCAGCAATGCTAGAAAAAAAGATCAATAAATAAACCTGCAGAATGCTGTCTTTATCCAGAATAAAAACAATAACATGAGTGATAAACAAAGGAAACAAAAAGCAGTGTACTTTCCTCTTTTCTTCCATCAAATATCTTGGTCATTAAGGGTTAAACTTCCAAATCATGACATCATACTGGGGGTTAGTAATTCTTTTTTTATTTCTATATAATAAAATCTCTCTTTAACTAAGATCCCAGTCTTTGGGAATCCAAACCAGTGCACTCAACCGTCAAGAAAACTACTATCACAACTACTTGAACACTGAGTTAGACAAGACTGGTAGGTCTATGGGCTTTATTTGATTAATAGGTGGGATTTTGGTTTTGGTTTTTGAAAATCACTTTTTTCCCTAATGGAGAGAAAAAGAAAATTAGATTACAATTAAATTTCTGAGATATATCTTCTATTGTAAATTCTCTAAAAATGGCCCTGCCAATCAAAAATAATGTCACATTTTACGTGTGTACATTTATGCCTCTTTAAAGCATTTAAAAGCACTTGAAAGCAAAAGGCATATAGGACCGAAGAATATCTCTTCTTTTGAGGACTATGAAGTGAAGCACTCGGAAAAAAGCCTTTTGAATCAGCTAATGCTCTGTATGAAAGTTGAGAACAGTGATTTTTTTTTTTTTTTTTTTTTTTTTTTTTTTATAGCTGGCCAGCAAGACCACCCATTGTGTTTGATTTGCTTTTTTTTTGTTTTTTGTTTTTTTGCAAATGCTAGTTTAACATGCCTGTATTTGGGAACGTAGATTCTCATTCTCAGTAAAGCTGTCTGGATTCTCTGCACAATTGTC